TTCCAAAACTGATGAAGATAAGTTGAATTAAAGTCATCAACACAACATAAGCAAACCTGAAGCTTTTACTGATGATGTCGTTCAGAAGAACAATGAAAGCTCTACGACTGAACCATCCAGTTTAGAGAACAAAACTCCATCAAACTCCTTTTTTGGTCTTCAACGTTGTGTTTATTCGGGATTTTGTCCGTAAGAAATGAAGCAGTATTGTTGTGTCATTAAGTCCGGCGAATTATCACATAGTTTATTCGCCAATCGAAATATGACTTATTCAATCTTAGTACTGTGTTAAACCAATGACGCTCGACCGGTATGAGCAGCATAGCGTCCTTATTGGTCCTTTGTTCTTCTAGCCCTTCCAAATGAATCAAAAACGTTGATAACAGCTCCCAGTATACGAATCTTTTATTTCAAACATACTTGGTTTATATACCAGACAAACAGACCACATCACGCCATCAAATGGGAAATAACATTTTTACAAGATGTAGTCGAGAAGTAGCTATGGGAGTGATTGTGGGAGACTATTCAATAAACTTGACATAAATTAAGAACAGTAAGTCGTATAATCATAATCTATAGATCAAAATGAAGCTTACAATAAGAGGAATATGAATATACGTAATCTGGTTACTGAACAGTTATACACTAGGAATATTAGTCCATTAACAGTTGACAGAAGTTACCCATAATTTAATCTTTACTAGGATATAACAGATAACATTGTGCTTACGTCAGTCATAGTTCTTTGTTCACTGTTGGTATAATATTCTAACTAATTAGACTTCACAATGGTTTTTTACATAGAAATTAAACCTCGACTAATCAGAATAGATGGAAGCAAAGAAAGTGGAATGGAACGATTGCATAACTTAATAAGTCATTTTATTATAATAAGTATTCTTGATAATTTCTTCGACATTTCAAGATTATGGTATACTTTAAAACACTGCGCCAGTGGAGTTATTCGGTGTCGGGTAGAGACAGGTAACTTCCTCAGTACAATGGAAGATGCTCGCGCAATTTTGTGGATTGGTTGAGGTTAGACATTTACACCGTTGGATGCCGGCCGGCTCAGTGATCTAGTTGGTTAAGCGTTCGCGCGCGAGACTGAAGGCCCTGGGCTCGAATCTGGCGAGCGGGATTGTGGATGCGCACTGCTGAGGAGAAGTCCCGCAATAGGACGAAACGGCCATCCAGTGCCTCCAGGTTATAAATAGTGGTCCAACATCAACCGGTTCACGATCTCAGTTAATAACTTAATAATCTCCACAACCGTATACTGATAAAACACAAAATGACGAATTATGTTATTAATCCGAGAAATAAAAACAAAGCAATATCATTACATCTAAAAACTGTCATATGGAATGGGGTCGCTAACCCCATACCCAACCCTCTTTCTTTATTCGGGCTTGAGATTGAAAATAGCTTCAGAGAGGTTTCAGTCCGAGTTTTCATTTTAGTGATCATTAAAATATGCAAATTAATTTCATTGATTTAATATCTCAAGCAACAATCGTAAAACAACTGAAGGTAATAACTAAAACGTTTTGTAACCAAGACACTGTCAATGTTGCTGAATAAATTGTGCGAATGATAATCTTTTGCTTTCATAATTGTCTTATGATGAAACAGATTTTACATTCCAGAGACTAAATATATGACTAGAAAAGTCATATGATCAGTATTAATTGAATTCTATTATGAAACTTGTAATTTAGTATTTATCTAAATGACTAGATATCGTACAAGTTAAATTGTAATGTCGGATAGTGTGAAATGTGTTACGAACAGACTATTTGGAGAATTATGGAAATGTAGGATTCACTGAGAAATGGTTATTTTTTAAGACTGGATCATTCAGTAGTAGGCATCCTAGAACTAAGTGGCATACGACTATCCTCTCTAGAGTCCAATGTTTATGATGATAGACTAAAACTATTTATGGTTGAGATCATGAATTAATTGATGTTATACCACCGTTGGAAACCTGGAAGCACTGGACGGCCGTTTCGTCCTAGTATGGGACTCTTCAGCAGCGCGCATCCACGATCCCGCTCCCCGCGGGATTCGAACCCAGGACCTACTGGCTTCGCGCCTGAGCACTCAACCATTAGACCACTGAGCCGGCATTCAATGGTGTTAGTGTCTAACATCAACCAATCCACGAAATTGCGCACTGCTGAGGAGTCCCATACTAGGACGAAACGGTCGTCCAGTGCTTCCAGGTTTCCAACGGTGGTCTAACATCAATTAATTCATGATCTCAACCAAAAACTTAACAATCTCCACAACCCCCATGCTGATAAAACTGTTTAGTTGAAAGAATTTGATTCAAGCCCTTATGTTCAACCAGTTTATAATGTAATATTATTATCATATAGCTAGATGTATAAGATGATATTCTGCTTTCAACACTCATTCGAACTTCCTGAAGCTTATGAAGAAGACACGTATTGTTGGACAAATGGTTTCCCTCAAATTAAATAACTTGTGAAGGGATTTTATGGTTTACTTTAAGAATCAACATTATATAACGTGGACATAGTAAATAGTTGTTCCGTCTTAGTTTAAATGTTCTACAGACTTATCCAAACTCAACATCAATTGGAATGACAGTTATAGATAAATACTCAATTGTTTCCATATTGTAATGAAACTACTCATCAAGACTATTACAGAAAAAGTTATATTTATTAAGTTTACATCATTATTTTCACCCAAATTATACTAAGACGAAATCGCTGTCCAATGCTTCCAGGTTTTCAATGGTGGTCTAACATTGATCCATTCATGATATTAATCTAAACTAAATAATCTCCACATATTGTCTACATTTCATTTTTGTTTCGCAATTTCATCTTAGAGAATAAAGTTGATAAGCTTAAAAGCTAACGTTAAAAGTACAAAGGATTTTATTATGATCATGAGTCAATTGAAGCCAGACCACTATGGGATATCTGAAAGCACTGGACGGTCGTTTCATCTCAATATGGGACTCCTCAACAATACACATCCACGATCCCGCCTCGTGAGATTCGAGCCCAGGATTTATTAGTCTCTCACGCTAGCACTTAACTTCTAGACCACTGAATCGACATCTAGTAGATATTAATGTCTAACTTCAACCAATTCACGAACTTACGCCACCGTCCACTATTGTCATCAGTAAGTTACTATCTGACAACAGACCCGGTTGAACTTCACAAGTCATGACTTTTATTATGATCAGCATATAAAGTTAAATTGTTATCATTTGATTACATAATATAAGTAAGCATATGGAACTTATGAAAGAATAAGAAAAGATGGATAGAGGCTAGCAGTGGAATCCAGTTAGACGCGCATTTCGTCCTATTTGGGACTCGTCAGCTGGATTTACCTGCATCCCAGAGTTGATGTTCACTCCTGAACTCGAATTCAGTACCATTCGCTTCAAACATTATCGCATTATCCACTTAGCTACTGAGTCGTGATAGCCATCTGCTTGTGAAACGGGGTGAAGTTTTTAATTAACTTAGTGTTGTTTTACTTGTATCTTTCCATTATTATTTAGGACTGTAAATGATCAGTCCCGAGGTGAACATCAACTCTGACAGGCAGGTACATCCAGTTGACGAGTCCCATATAGGATGAAACGTACGTCTAACTGAATTCTACTGCTAATCACTATCCATCTTTGCTTAAAAAGTTTGTGACTTATCGAGGTAATCCCCACATTATGCACATATACCAATAAGAGACTGATCAATTGTAGTTCTAAATAACAATGGGATGATACCAATAAAAACAACATCAAGTGAATTTATGAAAGAATAGTTTATATAATCATAAAGGATATAGAGTAAACTACATATGATTCTAACTATTCATTCATAGATAAAGATGTTTGTCATTACATAAAGTTTATATTTACTTTTATACATATGAGACAGTGTTTGTCACATGTATATCATAAGGAAATTAGATAAATATTGGTAAAAGAACTACCCTATATGTGTATATACACACTGCGTATGAGTGTATAGAAGCACGTGTTCCTATGCATGGAAATTAAACCATTCAAAGTATGTATGTAAGTAAGAAATAACCTGAAACTCTGTCCTATAAACATTTTAGTTTATGAAACTTTACACACACACACACAAATGATAAGCTTTAGATACACATTCTCGTCATTTGCCCATGTGTGTATTCACATCTACCTATCTATCTATCAGTTTCTAGATGAATCGGTGCATATATTCATTTTTATATGGAAACTACATATGATATCTATGTGTATATATTTACACATTATTATTATTGTTGTATTTTCTTCTTGATACACAATCATAGATAGTTACTGCCTATCAGCAAACTGTTTAGTCTAGGAAATCTGTTCATTTAGTCTTTGACCATAATATCTACCTATCTACTTATCCATATATATGTGTATATGTATATCATAAAAGTAAGTGCATATTGGTTTACACCAAAAAAAGAAAAGAAAAGAAAAGAAAAAAAAACAAGGAATAAAGTTTTCAACTACAAAATGTATGTCTGTTTGTAATAGTGGATAAGAATTACAGATTTAAAAGGCGAGGGAGGGGGCAGCGGCGGTAATGATTCATAATAAATTTTGAATAAATTTACCAGAAACAAGAAGAAAGAGAAAAAAAACTGATCATAATAATCATAATAAAACTAAATTAAAATAATCATCAAGATAAAAATAAATGAAAAAAGAAAAGAAAAAAGAAAAGAAAAAAGAAAAATAACAAAGAAAAAAATCATTAGAAATCAACTCATCATTAGTGTTCCATGTGTATATATATATGTATATATCACTCAATTAAAGAGGACTCTATACAATGAACATTCAACAGATTGTTTATTATATTATCATTGAAATGATTCAAAGGATCCATCTTGATGGATTTTATATTATGAATAATATACATGATGGAATTATATAATTCTATGTTTATTTTATATTATTGTATATTGTTCTAATTATGGAAAATCATCTTGATCATAAGTTTAATGATACAGAACCTGATTCAAAGTAAGTAACTAATTGATGCTTATTATTATTATTATTATTGTAATTTATGGATTGGTTGAAGTTAGACATTCATATCTATTGGATGCTGACCGACATAATGGTGTAAAAGTTAAGCGTTCGTGCATAAGACTAATAAGATCTAGGTTCGAATCTCATGAGGTGGGATCTTGGATGTGTACTGCTAAGAAGTCCCATACTAGAATGAAACAGTTGTCCAGTACTTTCAGGTTTTTCATGGTGGTCAAGCTTCAATTGACTCATGATTTCAACCAGTGAACTTTCTAAAATCTCCACAAAACTCATTCTGACAAATGGATAATTCACAAGATCTGATGAAACTCAGTGAAGTGCATAACTACGGATAGTAATGTAGATATAACAGTGAAGCTATAATTTATGGATGACTTTTCAGCGACGCTAGATTGACCTTGAGAGTGTCCACCTAAAAAACTAGGATCAAATGTGGATTATAAACCAGTGTGAGGAATTAGAATTATGAGTTACAGTTGATGATTAAGGTTATGAATTACATTTAGGATTTTCATCATGAACTGACATCAGCTATGATGTCAAAACTCTATTTAAACAAATAGATGAGTGAATTTTGCGCCATAATCCAAGACTTGATTGGTTCGTCCACAAAATTATAGTCTTGTCAAATATCATTTCTGTATAAACTCTCTAAAAATGTGGAACATACTAAACATTATGATATCCTTATATTATAGTATTATGAATTAAAGGAATTTGATGGCAGTAGACACACTATTGAATGTAGACTATAGAAGATTCGAACCATGTGTTGTTTTTAATCTACAAACTAACCAGAGATTTACTAAATAAAACGAAAGGTTCATTCCTTTATCTAAATCGCTACAAAGTAAGATTTAACGTCAGATAATTTGAGTTGTTTAACGGTTTACTTAGGTTTCGTGTTAATTGCTGATCGTAATCTCGAATATTCCAAACATCATATCCCTTAAACCTTCAGATGTATCTTTTTAATGGGAGACTTTTCATAGAATCTATATCCATTGCTTGTTACTGATTTATTTATAGTTGTCTAATATCAAAAACCTTCTGTATACAATCAAATTTCACTTACAGTAGTAGTCACAAAACAATTCGATCGATTGAGTCCATAACCTCCAAGATCTGGACAAGTTTAAAAACAAATACAACTTAATGATCATTCATTGTAATAGTAAGACTTTTTAATAGTTCAAAGGACTTTCAAGACACAAGTAAATCCTTAAACATGCTTTAATAAAATTGCATTCTTTTTAGGTTTAAAGTTAGTGAATATATATTTTATATCCATTTAAAATGATCAATAAGGGGTTCCAGAGGCTGTTAAGTGTTATTAAGATCACGAAATAACCTAAGTAAGATAATCATTGAGAACTCATGAACGATCTTACATATCTCCATCACTGAGGATTAAACCCGGGAACTTTTGATTTAGCGCACGAATGCTTATCCTTTAGACTATTAAACCAGAATCTAGTAGTGTACAAAGATAGAGATAGTAATTTAGTATCAGTTTGTATAATCTCAACACAGTGCACGGAATGTCAAGTTACTCAGACTTCTGTTCTCGTTCACTACAACACTAGATGGATCAACACCCTTCAAATGCCTTGGTATGACCGAGAGTGGGGAGAGTCAGCTCCCTCTCTCTATGCTCTCATATGGCCATGTGCATACAACCACTGCCAGGGAAGTCCTACTCATTACCTTCTCGCGGCAATACTGTTGTTTACGAAAATGAGAGGACGAAAAGTGAATGTCTGGCGCTTTAACCAGGCCGGTGAACAGGGACAGTTCACCTAGGGGAGTTGGGAGACCCTGATTCTAAACCAATGGTGCATCTGAGCTGCAGGATCTTAAGGGGACAAATGATATATGGACCAATCGTTGGTCACCGGCTACCATGGGACTGCATCTCTTAACGTTGCTCCACTACCTTGTGGATCAGACTTTAGGTCAAAGGCTCCGGGTGTCGCTCCCTAAGGAAACCATCTGTTTTGGTTAATAGAAAATTTTATTTTCTTACTCTTTCTCAAATTAAATTATTTATGCTTCATTCTACGTGATTTGTATTTTTAAGTAATAATTTCGTCAATTGGTTAAAGTTTGACATTGAAAACCTAGGGTGCCGGCTCAGTGGTCTAGAAGTTGAACGATAGGTCCTGGGTTCAAATCTCGAAAGGTGAGGTCGTGGATGCGCACTGCTGACTTACGACTGTTAAACCCAATAAAGGATAGGCCGCCGACCACTATGTCCTCGGCCTTTCTTTCTAGTTCCCTCCAATTGTTCTTCATTCTTATCACATCTGTCTCCATTACTCGGTGAAATGTGTTCTTTAGTCTTCCACTTCTCCTTTCGTCTTGAGAATTCCAAATGTGTCCACTTCACTTCCAGCACTTCTTCCTGATTTCTTCCTCCTCCCGAATCTGATTTGTTCTCTCTCACAGTAGGTTTTCGATGATAGTATCTGGCCAACGCATCCGAGATAGATAACTGTTAATAAACACTTGTTTCTTCTGGATGATGACTTTCGTAGTTCTCCAAGTTTCTGCCCCATACAGTACAACTGTCTTGACATTTGTATTAGAAAACCTGTTATTCCTCGTGGAGGAGTCTAGGCCACTCATCAGGCTAGTGAAAATCTATAACTCATTTAGATGATTTTGATAAAGTTTTTTTCTCTAAGCTGGATAGTTTGTTGTTAGAGTTTTCATTATTATTCTGAACAACATCATTAACACAAACTTTACAACCAAATATTTAGATCAGAGAACAAAAACTTCATCACAATATGGTTAGTTTATTATTAATTAAAGGAAATATCATAAAGAAAAGATGGATAGTGGCTAACAGTGAAATGCATTTCGATGCGCGTTCCGTCTTATTTGGGACTCGTCAACTGTATGTACTTGCATCTGAGTTGACATTCACCCCGAGACTCGAACCCAGTATCTTACGTTTCGAACGCCATCACGTTCTCCACTTAGCTGCTGAGTCCTGATAGTACAAAGAGGTGAAATTTCAAACTCACTTATTATTATTATTATTATTATTATTATTATTATTATTATTATTATTATTGTTTTACTTATATCATCCCATTGTTATATAGAACTGAAATTGATCAGTTTGTCCATGTTAGTATATGGGCATCCTGTGTAGATTGCCTCAATATCACCTTAAGTCACAAGATGAATATCATAAAGGGTTTACAAAAAAATTTCAAAGATCACTACCTAGTAACTAAAATGATCTAAATGTTGGTAATATTTATATCTAAGGGATAAATAGAGAAATTCTAAGTAAATAAAGATAAATGTATCCATTTAAAATGATTCAGTGTATAAAAAGATAAAAGGGATATATCTTTTGTTTAACAGTCATGGAGGTAATTCTTTCTTCTCTTCTTTTTTTCTTCTTTTTTTTTAATTTTTACAAAAATTATTCAATAAATTTATGTCAGTAAACCAGGTCAATGAACCAGATGTTTGATGATTAATGATGATGTAAAACTTCAATGAGAAATAATTCAAAACTGATCTATTTCATTTGATATTATTGTGGAATGTCTAGATGGAAGATCTATTATTATTATTATTATTATTATTACTTACTTACTTACTTACTTACTTATGCCTGTTAATCCCAATGGAGCATAGGCCGCCGACCAGCATTCTCCAACCCACTCTGTCCTAGGCCTTCGTTTCTAGTTCCATCCAATTCTTGTACATTTTTCTCATGTCTATCTCCATTTCTCTGCGTAATGTGTTCTTTGGTCTTCCACTTCTTCTCCTTTGGCGTTGAGGATTCCATGTGAGGGCTTGTCTTGTGACTCAGTTGGGTGCTTTCTTCAATGTGTGTCCTATCCACTTCCAGCACTTCTTTCTGATTTCTTCCTTCTCTGGGATCTGGTTTGTTCTCTCCAACAGTAGGTTGTTGCTGATAGTGTCTGGCCAACGAATCCGAAGTACTTTGCGTGGACAACTGTTAATAAACACCTGTATCCTCTGGATGATAGATTTCGTAGTTCTCCAGGTTTCAACCCCATGCAGTAGAACTGTCTTGACATTTGTATTGAAAATTCTGACCTTGGTGTTTGTTGAGAGTTGTTTTCAGTCCCAGATGTTCTTCAGTTGTAAATATGCTGCTCTTGCTTTGCCGATCCGCGCCTTCACATCTGCATCAGATCCTCTGTGTTCATCAACGATGCTGCCTATTATTATTATTATTACTGAGTAAATTGGTATCTCTATGTTCTTCAATGGAAATGAAATGTTGAATTTTTGAGAAGTTATACTTTTGATAGTTCTTCCGGTCTCCGACATTGATTGTATGTTTGATGTATCTATAAAAAAAATCGTCGCTCTGATTGTTAGGATAGAGTTAGATGGAGGGTACTAGTTGGCCGCCTATACTCCTTCACGAGGGGTAACAGGCATAAGTAAGTAAGTAAAGTAAGGAAGGAATTGAGTATGTAGGTAAGTAAGTAAGTAAGTAAGTAAGTAAGTAAGTAAGTAAGTAAGTAAGTAAGTAAGTAAGTAAGTAAGTAAGTAAGTAAGTAAGTAAGTAAGTAAGTAAGTAAGTAAGTAAGTAAGTAAGTAAGTAAGTAAGTAAGTAAGTAAGTAAGTAAGTAAGTAAGTAAGTAAGTAAGTAAGTAAGTAAGTAAGTAAGTAAGTAAGTAAGTAAGTAAGTAAGTAAGTAAGTAAGTAAGTAAGTAAGTAAGTAAGTAAGTAAGTAAGTAAGTAAGTAAGTAAGTAAGTAAGTAAGTAAGTAAGTAAGTAAGTAAGTAAGTAAGTAAGTAAGTAAGTAAGTAAGTAAGTAAGTAAGTAAGTAAGTAAGTAAGTAAGTAAGTAAGTAAGTAAGTAAGTAAGTAAGTAAGTAAGTAAGTAAGTAAGTAAGTAAGTAAGTAAGTAAGTAAGTAAGTAAGTAAGTAAGTAAGTAAGTAAGTAAGTAAGTAAGTAAGTAAGTA